CCTAGTAGCGTCCTTGCTCCTAGTGGTAAGGCCAGGAGCCCCTAGTAGCGTCCTTGCTCCTAATAGCGATGGCAGGAGCTCCTAGTAGCTTTTTGTTCCTGGTAGCAAGGCCAGGAGCCCCTAGTAGCGTCCTTGCTCCTAGTAGCGATGCCAGGAACCCCTAGTAGCTTTTTGTTCCTAGTAGTATGGCCAGGAGCCCCTAGTAGCATCTTGGCTATGCCAGGAGCCCCTAGTAGCTTTTTGTTCCTAGTAGTAAGCCCAGCACCCCCAAGTAGCGTTTGCTCCTAGTAGCGATGCCAGGAGCCCCTAGTAGCTTTTTGTTCCTAGTAGGAAGGCCAGGAGCCCCTAGTAGCGTCCTTGCTCCTAGTAGCGATGCCAGGAGCCCCTAGTAGCTTCTTGTTCCTAGTAGTTTTTGTTCCTAGTAGGAAGGCCAGGAGCCCCTAGTAAGTAGCGTCCTTGCTCCGTTCGTAGCGATGCCAGGAGCCCCTAGCAGCGTCCTTGCTCCTAGTAGCCATGCTAGGAGCCTCTAGCTTTTTGTTCCTAGTAGTAAGGCCAGGAGCCCGTAGCGTCCTTGCTCCTAGTAGCGATGCCAGGAGCCCCTAGTAGCTTTTTGTTTTTGGTAGTAAGGCCAGGAGCCCCTAGTAGCCCCAGTAGCGTGCTTGCTCCGTTCTTTTTTTGTTTCCTAGTAGTAAGGCCAGGAGCAGCTAGTAGCATCGATGCCAGGAGCCCCTAAGGCCAGGAGCCCTTTAGTAGCGTCCTTGCTCCTAGTAGCGATGCCAGGAGCCCCTTGTAGCTTTTTGTTCCTAGTAGTAAGGCCAGGAGCCCCCAGTAGCGTCCTTGCTCCTAGTAGTAAGGCCAAGAGCTAGCCCCTAGTAGCGTTCGTGTTCCTAGTAGTAAGGCGAGGAGCCCCCAGTAGCGTCCTTGCGCCAAGTAGTACGGCCAGGAGCCCCTAGTAGTAAGGCCAGGGGCTCCTAGTAGCGTTCGTGTTCCTAGTAGTAAGGGCAGGAGCCTCTGGTAGCGTCCTTGCTCCGTTCGTAGGTTTCTTTCCCCAAAGATCCGCCTGCCGCATAGATGACCCATGCCTGAAGGACCCCATGGTGTATTTGGTTCCGACCCTGGCGCCAGCCTTGTACCCCTCCTTCGACTGGTGAAATGAAACGAATGCAACCGGCACCGGCGGCCTGAGCGCCAGGATGGCCTCGTGGCCGATTGGAATGCCAAGAACGAGCCCTTCAAGCATATTTGTGCGGGTGACTTCATTTTCCAGGCCCAAGATGGCGCTCTTTTCTCAAGGTTTGGTAAACATCGTTTCAATTGTTGCTGGCGAGTCACTGGATGGTGAGTTTCCTAAACAAACCAGGAAGTGCCATTTTGCATATGCAAGCTGAAGCATCTATGATCGAGAGCCATTCTTTTGGTTTGCACTTTTTGTGCGGCCGGCGACTCGTGTGATCTGACTTCCAGGTGAACAACGTTTCTGGTGATACAGTAGCTATGATCAAGGACTCGATGTCTTCGACTCGACACCACTCATGACAAGATTTGAAGAGCGTCGGCTTGAACACGATGCTTTGACATCATGGCCTTCAAATTTCAGCTGAACGCGCCGCCGACAAACCATTCACGCCACCAACACGGGTGTTGGGGTGTATTGGTGCATATCCACTAAACAGATTGGAGAAAGACAGTGACCTACACATGAAAGTGAAACCGAATAGCAACAACAGTAAAGTATACCGGGTCAATGAAATTACACATGTGAATTCTGCTAATTAGGTGTGACCGGCAGAAGAGTTGAGTAAACGGTTTCTTTGCGATGTTTGTGGTTTGCAATTGTCTTCTATACAAGGCACATACAAGATTCGTAGGTGAGTGCCACTCCATCGGTACGAGATAACCTGGATGAAAGGGTGCTTCCGCAGAGTTCTTGTGTGTATTGAAGCATCGTTTGGTTGGTACAAGAGGATCATGAGCAATTAAATCCCTGAACATAAGCTGCTTATGTACACACACATGTACATATATATATATATATATGCACATGTAGTATACACATACTGATCCGAGTGGCATCTGCCGGGATGAATAAAGTTTATCAATAACACCTGGGAAACCACAAGGATTGCCAGCGATATCAACCTGCCATTTGTGCTGTTGGGTATTCCACAGCCACCTAAATGATTGCGAAGAAACTCTTTGTGGGCCTTGCCCAGCCCTTGGCCCCTGAGGAGCTAAAATTCAAGACCCAACTCACCATCCACGTGAGGAAAAGGCGGACTCTTCGAGTTTGGCTTACCAAACAATGTGTAGCATGGGAGAATTGCAAGACACTTGCCCGATTTGCGCATGGCTTCTTGAGCTCAAGTGGCTTGGATTTCTAGAGAGGTGGAGTTGCTACTTAAATGATTACAGTAGTAGTATGTAGTAGTGAAGGAAATTCGCTTGAAGGACGACCATTCTTGCATGCACGAGTGGGGCAAGGGTGGGCAGGGGCTCCAGCCCTTAAGTCTGGCAAGAAAGGCATGAATCGCTGGGCACCCAAATCGCTATCTCACGGTGTTTGTTGGGAGCAGTAGTTCCACATCTGGACCTCCCAGTCACCCTTTTCCTCCTGAAACAACTCCTTCAGCCGCAGGTGTGGACAAGAGATTCCTCCGCTGGTGCCCCCGCCCAAGGCTGTGTGGGGCTTTGCATGACTGAGGCGGTTCGTGTTTGATCTGGTTTGCCCAGGTTTTGCAAGTGCATGGGATAGTTCTATATTATGGAGCGTTCGGATCAATTCATACCAGTGTAGGTCGTTGGCCCATTTGCTGAACCGGGTTCAACTTCTATATTTTAAAACATGTCGATTGAGCAGATAGACGTGACAGAAAGGAACATGTCATCCTTTTGGGAAGCCTAGATGTGTAAATGAATTCCAGAAAGAAGACCGTATTGTTGCAGTTGCAAATCGCCATGGGCAGCAGTTTTCGTCCATCGATTGTGCCGAACTGGTCAGCCACGTTGTTTTTTTGGGGGCCTTCGAGGTAATGAATTCAATTGCTTCATGGTCGCAATGCTAGGCATGTGCAGAACCCTGGTCTGGTAAGGGCAAAAACAGAACCAACCGAAAGCCTGAAAGCCTTAGCTGAATGCATTTCATACTTTTTCAGGATGTGCACGTGCCAATATTTGGATGCCTTTCTGCAAGCAACGCCACTATCACTCCTGTCGCTCCGTGCCTGCCAGGCCCCAGAAGCGGTCCCAAGGTGCATCTGGATCAAATGGGTCATGCAAACACGTGACATAAAGCAAACACGAGAACTGTAAACGTGCCCAAGTGGCTTGATGATGCTTCTCGCCGGACGAGGTTTGTTCACTCTTGCTTTTCACATTTGGTTCGTCTGGTTTTGCTCTGTTTTTCCTGCGTCCAAGGCAGCTAAAACAGGGAAAAACACAGAAGACATCTTGCTGACATGGAGACCCCCAAATCTTTCAGAGCCGAACAGCGGCACAGGCCTGAGACGCAAGCCAGATCAAATCCGAATCTTGAGGCCGGGCTTCCTCCAGCAAGAGAGCACGCTGCTGGATGGATGGATGGATGGATGGATGGATGGATGGATGGGTTCATGGGGTCTTCTCAAAGACCCGACATCCGGCTGTGAGCAAATGCTGTAGGGACCAAGCTTTTGACCGATGCTGTGTGCTGAGTTTGCTGAGATAAACCTCAAGCGATCTTAAGGGATCGAAGGTGTTTGCAAGTAGATTGTAGACATTGTTGCTACCCTAGAAGCAGAGGTGAAGGTCTAGGATGTCTAGGTCCTTGATGGTCCTTGTACCTAACAGCTCCCTTAGGTCTAGGTGCCGGGATTTGTTTTGCTGCCCACCTCGAAAGCACAAACAGCAACGACTGGGTTCGCAAAGACCACTCTTAACGGGCTGGGTTCTGCAAAGACCTGACGCCCATGTGAAGAAGGGAAAAAGATATCATTTTTGATCCAAAGTCTTCATCCTTTAAGGCCCACTCGACGATCAGCAGAGCAAGATGGCATGATTGATTTACAAGTTTTGGCACCCCTGCATGACCTCATGCAGCAATCAACTGAAGCTTGCCAGGCGATCCTATCTGAGCTCCGCTCCATTGGTGATGAGGTGGGGAATCTTGGAAAGGAAACGGAAAGGTGTGAACAGGCGAGTTGGGACGCCCAGACCGCCAGTCATGCCAGTCATGCCAGTCTTTGCAAGACTTCAGCAACCAGTGGCCCAACGCAGTCTGCAGGAGTTGGCCGGGCTTATTTGCGTGGCCATGGAACGCCGTCCATGGCTCCGCCCTGCTGCGTCTCGGTTGGGCGTTGGAGCTGGGCCACCAGGGAGCACCGGTGCTTCGGTCTTCGGAAAGGAACACACCCCGCCTCTCAGACAACTCCACATGCAAGTATCTACGAACATGTGGGCTTCAAGCAAGCATTCATGAGCCAATTCCTAATCCAACGACGCCCAGTTGGGGTTGGCTCCATTCGGGAACCTCCAGGTCGTTCGGTTCGTATCACGGAGTGCGTGAGTGGGACGGCCAAGGGCGTTTGGCACGGCCAAGGTCCTTGGAGTTGAGAATGGCGACTCATAGATGATCGGTGATCCGTTTGGAGAAAAAGGTGACCAACGGCGTTGGTGTGTGGCGTTCCCGAGACGACTCGGGTTCCCTTTTTCCCACGTCGCACAGAGGGGAGACCTGGATGTTTCTGGCGAAGCTGTGTTGATAGACAACTGAGGCAGTTGGACTCCCCCAGGGATGGTGATGAGCCACCCAAACTGCCAAAAGAAGCGACATCCAGCGTACAATATTCACCAGGGTCACCTTCTTCAGAGGTGTTCTGAGCCATGTTGGGTGAGCCAACTCGCCACAGATCAGATCCGTTGGTCAATGAATTCAACTCATGGTGGGGAGGTGGGGAGTTCTGATGTGATCTCTGCGGGGATTTCTGGACACGGATTCTCATCGCATGAACCTTCACCGCACACCTCTCCAGTGCAGCCCCTTTCGACGTGGTTCCACCCGCCCCTTCTCGGGGGCCACGGGAGGCGGGGCGGCGGAGGAAGGGGCGCTCAAGCTGCGTGTCGAGTCTCACATGAGAGACTTAGTAAGAGACAAGTCCGCGGAGGAATCCGGGGCTAGCCACGAACTTGGCCTGTAGAGCTTAGAAGAATGCTGTCAGAAGTGACTTCTCAACCGTTCACAAAACAACAACAACAACAACAAGTGAGATACTTGGTGTTTTGTTTCTCCAGGGCTCTGTACTAGTGTTGATTCAACCTTTGATGCTGTGGCTCTGACAGGTCTTCATGGCGTCGGCCTGGCCATTTGGGGAGTCCAGGAACAGTGCCGAGACGAGGATTTTACAATAAGATGGGCCCGAGTTGAAGGAATGTGGCCAGGAATCTCTTTAAGATCCTGCCTTTTTTTTAACCTGGAAAGAAGCTGTGAGCTTTGGGGCTGTCTCGGAATTGAGCCTACAAGCAAGGTGTTGCCGGAGATATTGGACTGCTTAGAGACTTAGCACGGTAGACATTTGCCAGGTCCTCAGCAGTGGCCGATAGCTTTCAGACCCGAGAAGATGCCAAAAAGCAGAAGGCCCTACAGGAGGCAGGAGTTTTCATCCGCGTGCACTGAACACGTCATCGGCGGGGAGAAATCTCAACAGATTTCTCAACACATGGCATTGCTCTTTGGGGAATGGATTTCACCTGGCGGTATGTCTTCCTCATCCTGTTCATGTGGAGACAAGCTGTAAAATGTCATTTGCGCAGTCTGACCAATGAGGGTACAGGTGAATGCCTCGGCACATGTACCTGTCTTGGAGGCGAAGACTCGAACTCACATGCTGTTGAAGTGAGTCACAGTGAGTCTAGATGATGGCAATGGACAAGTGTTCGATCACAGGGAAGCCCTTGCCTCATATGTTGGCCACCCCCAGCTTGAAGGACCTTCTTTCGGATCTCCCGGTTGGGTCCAAAACAAGGACCCAACCAAAAGTGTCCACAGCTTACATAACTTTATGGACATTCAATTCCTCCAGCTTCCCCAGCTGCGCAAGGCCCGAGCGGCCGGAACCGCGGCGCCCGAGACGGATGAGTTCACAGGAAAGATGATTAACCCGCATAACCCGGAGTTCATCACCAAGGCCGCAGCCATCACGGATGGGACGAAGCAGAGAAGACAAACCAACACAGAGAGTTCAGACTTCACAAAAGGGTCCTTGGACAAGGAACTTGGATGATGAGCATTGTGCTTGGCACATATGCGTTGAGCTTGTATTTTGATCAAGAGGGAGAGTCATTCGGACGTTAGTGCCAGTTTGGTGGATGAGATTAGAGAACTGAACCAGCTGGCCTTGCAAGCAAGGCCAAGCAAGGGCTGATGGGTGGAAAAGCGGTGGTTTCTCTGCCCTTCCCAAAACATCACCAGTGGAGTCGAGTCCGGCCTTTCGTCCGCCGCGGGCCAGGCTCCTTGGTACTTGAACCAAGACAAACCCTCCTTGAAGCACCATCAAGCTTGGAATGCCAAGTCCATGGGCACCAGAGACTGGTACATTCGAGGCGAAAGGGATGTGGGATGTGTACTGTGTAGGTGACTGGACCATCGGTCAAAATGGTCCAGGGTACCAGCTTCAACAATCATAATGTCTCATTCAGCTCGCTTGATGCACGGTAGCTGCTTCAGCAGCCCGTGGAAGCATCGACTCCTGAGAGGTACCAAGGGTGATGTCAAGACCAAGTTCATCAAGGGTGCTTGTGAAAACTGCGGCGCCACCACGCACACCAAGAAGGCGCCAGTGCGCGTAACACGTGGTGCGGACTTGGGTGAAAAAAGACGAAGACAAGGAGCGGAAGGAGCGGAAGGAGCCACCAAGAGTCTTTCCCCTACCAAGGGAAGGTTTCCCATGTTCAGATATGTTGGAATGCTCTTTGGCATCAGCCACCTTTCTTCAATCACTTTGTGGGTGGGGATAAGACTTTTGACTGCTCTTGAAGGCCCAGAATTTCAAAAGCTGTTCGTGCGGCTAGATTCTCTTTTGGCAGTTCGTCAGGATTGTGTGGAGCGGCCACGTGCGGTCACAGCGAAGCAAAATGGGAAGAACCTCATGCCCGATGAGTACATCATGGAGCGAAGTGGGTCAAAGCTCCCCCATGCAAACACTTCTTGCAGTTTTGTTTGGAATGAATTCCGCCATAGAGGCGGGATGCTTTGTCCGGTTTGTAGTGAATCTGCTGACACTCCGTAGAGTATATAATGGTTTGGTACTTTGTTCAGGGGTTGGCCTCAATGTCCTTTGCTGCCAAGCATTCTTCTTCGAAGGTAGGAGTTGTTAGAGTTGCAGAGCCATCAGACTGACATGGCACAGAAATGTGCACGGAAGGAGCTGAACTTGGACTACGATGGTAAGCGAGATCGATGGAACGGGTTTCAGCCGGATGACTACAAGCAGGTCATTGAGGAGAGACGAACGGGCTACCTGTGGAATCTGTCGCCTTGTTCTAATGGTCTACTGGGTGTGGCAACTTAGTTTGCAGGGAATTGGCGGTTTTGACCATTATTATTCATTAGATGACTACTGCATTCTGCTGGGGATTTATCGTAGTGGCCCTGCCAGAGCTTGTGGAACTCGGAGTGTCCTATACTTCCAGCTCCTTTCATCAGACCGAGCCCCAAAACCCGCTGCCGAACCATGACAGAAGTGAACAGAGTTTCCTCCCAGGTCACAGAATCTTCCACTTGCATGTTCCCTCAAGACTGGATACTCATATAGCATCATATGGCTCTGGATGACGATTGAAGGCCCAGTTTGCAGGAAGAGTGGCCGAATCTCAAGATTCAGAGATTGTGTGGAGGTCATCGCAACTAGGCTGGAGGCCATTGCGTCTAGGTAGGAGGCTGTTGCTATTAGGTTGATCCAGATTGTTTTGATCAATGACCCTTCAGCCGCGGCAGCTGATCTGCTCTGCCAGGAGTGGGAGCGTGTGGAAGCAGAGCGGCGAAGGGTCAAGGCGGCCGAGATGGAGGAGCGCGCCAAGCTGAAGGAGATGCTCGGCTATCAAGGTCAGTGAGGCGTTTTTGGTCATGGCAAGCTGCAGGCTTCTATTAGTGCCCGAAATGCCGATTTTAATGCAAACACCCATTCATGTTTCGGGTTGGGTTGGCTGGGTTGGGAGTCGAAGTGCGGAGATTCTGTGAGAGTTTTGGGTGATAGAGTCGGATAGAGCTACCACTAAAAACCTGAGCAGGCGGCCTAGCCAGCGACCGCGAGTTGAGGCGTTTGAAGGCACAGAAGCGGCTCCTGAAGAAAAAGCGCAAGCAGCGGAGGCGGCAGCTGCGGCGCCAGGTGGGACGGACGGCGAAGATGCGGCGCAGATGCGCTCCAAGTACTGTAACTAGCCACCAGCCAGCATGCCATGAAGTTCATATAGACTTATCAAGTGATTCAGACTAGCCACCAGGAGTCCTGAAGTTCATATGGATCAGAGTCCTTCAGGAGTTTGACAAAACTTCGGAACCTCCAGGATTTTTTTTGATCTCCGCAACGGAGATGTCGACCTCTGAATCTGCTACCGACCAACCTGGTGAGGCTGAAGGTAAGGAGGATGACACCGACACCGGAGATTCAGTGCCTGAGATTGGAGAGGGGCGAAATGGTGCAGGAGCACGAGACAAATTGTTTCATAAAGCAGTAAGCTTTTAAGGAGGAGGAAGTAGCAGTTGCGCCAGCTCGATTGGAATTCTGAAGCATGTTTGAGCCATATGGACAAGTGCTGGACAAAGATTCGTCTGTTTCTTTTTCCAGTGCAAAACCTCCACGGAACCATGTAAAACTCGTGATCAAAAGCGATGTCGTGTCGATGGTTCATACCGTTCATACCCATTGCTCCGGGTTTTTGCTGCTCATTTGTCCTTGGGGTGGTTGTCCAACTGTGGCAATTCTCTCGAAGGGTTCATGAAGCTCCAACACGGTTCCCTCCCATCAGAAAAGTTCGAGCAATACATTCATGTTTTTGGGGTGACTTAAAGAGGATGGACATAGGATTGCCCTAGCCGCAGGCCCTAGTCTCAAACCCATATGATTCCTGCATTCAGCAAGCCAATCCTTGTCTTGAGATGGGAGTTACTTCGTTTCGCCTCACCGCCACCATCCACCGGTGACACCGACACGGAGTGTCTGTCACTCTCCTCACCGAGGACACGGGCGACTCTGATACCGACACCGACACCGATAGCGACAGCGAGGCCTCCGATGACGAGGCGTTCACCGCGTCGTCCGACGAGTCGTCCGACGAGTCGTCCGACGAGTCGGAGGGAGTTCAACGACGGAGACGAGGTCGTCGTTGTTTGTTTCGGCCAAAAAGGCTTGGTTCTCCGAAATCCTCCCCATCAAACAACAGAACGTGTTTTTTTCTTCTACAACGCCTTTTTGCTCAGCCATTTTCTGTGCTGCTAACCTAATTTTCCCGGACATGAAGGCCTTAGGGTGAATTCTGAAATTCTGGACCAGTACATAGTACACTTACAAGAAGTAATATAGCTTTCCTTGAGGAAAGTTTTGTTGAACACCACACCAGTCGAGGTCATTTTCCCAGCCTGGCATCCAGGGACGTACATTGTACTGGTGCCGTTTTGCCATCTTGGGATGACTAGAGTCCCGCTGTGCCCAGCGGGGATCCCGTGTGGTGGCTTTGTTTATGGCTTTGTTTGTGGTCTGCGCATGTCTGCGGCGGCCAGGATCTGGGTGAGAAGCTGAAAGACTTTGACAAGTCCACTTCCACGGTGGCCGCCAAAGACGACAAGCTTCGGACCACCACGAGGCCATTTTGTTGGTCCGGTGAGTTTTTTGTCGAGTCTTTGATGAGACTGATCACGCAAGGGGTCGGAAGCAAATCAGCTGGGGGGTGGTGACGAAACTTTATTTGGTTTTCTTGTAGTTGAAGCTGAAGCCTTCAAAGGGCCCAGGTGACTGATGGATACTTGCAAGCCTGATCTTTGCATTCACTTGAATTCGAGCAGCACACGGCATGGACGACGTTCCAGGAATCTTCGAATTCGAGAAGATACGGCCAAGTACTTGCTGAACCTGGACGTCAACTCTGCCTTCTACGACCCCAAATCCAGGTGCTTCGGCAAATTTTGTGTCTTGTGATGTGTCTAGTGTCTTTTGATTTCTGTTGACCGGGGGTGCAATCCACCAACCGGCTCACCAAGTCGCTCTTCAGCCAGCCACCAGGTCAATGCGCCAAGATCCGCTGGCTCACCTCAAGGTTGGGCATGTTTGGTTCAGAAGGAAACAAGTTAAAGTGATAGTGCCATACAGCAGGTGCCCTTATTTGAAGTAAGGTGTCCGGTACTTTAGGCAGACGACCGAAACTAGAGTCAAACCATGTGAAACCATATGGAAACATGGAGACACATGCTTCTTGTTTCGGGTTTCACCGCATCTTTGGTCTGGACCTTGGAATGCCTGATCAAGTGGATGATTTGCATTATCTGAATGTGGCACTGTGAGGATGAAGAGAAGGGCACCACCTTCCGCGGTGACAACTTCCTGAGGTCTGCTGCGACCGGTCCGTGCGCCGGAAGAGTTCGTTTGAAACAACATTTGTCGAAAGAGCCCCCCTGCACCTTGACTCTCTTCCCCCCAAAAAAGCATCCACAGAGGTCTATTTCTCAAAAGGTTTCCATAACAAACACGCCCCAGTTTGGATGTAAGAACGAAGTCACTGCAAGGTGTTTGCGGTCCTTCAACTGCATGGATATGGCGACGCAAAAATATATGGCTACCCTATAGCTGGTCCCAGACACGTCCATGACTGCCCGGGTTCTCGACCGTTCCTTCCACCGTTCACACGAGGCAATCCGGCGACTCCAAAGCATTGACGGAGCTCATGTGTTTCGCCTGGGATTCCTACAAGCACGGTCGCACTCAGCCTGTGTCTTTTTACTTTTTTCGGGCACACCAGAGCATCGATATCCACCTATAAAGCACCTTGTGTTTTTTTCATTCACCCAATGACCAGAGGTTGGCCTTCAGAGGTTGGCCTTCAGAGCTTTGAGAGGATTTTTTTAAGAGTTTGATTTTGTTCTGATCTTCCAGAAAGGACAGTTGCTTCACTTGAACCAGCTTGAAGATGTTTCCTCCTCCGTTATTTGTATACGGTGCTAGACTTTGCACCTCGTTCTTTTGTTTATTTTTCTACAGTGAGGCCCAAACGGCCCAAAGGCCAGCTTTCACCTGGGGCCGAGGACGCATCACTTGTTTTTCAACAATCGGATCAGCCAGGTGAGAAGATCCATGACACGGCGCAGCCGACGCAAGCGCTCAAGATGTTTGAGGTGCAACCCCCTGGGAGCCTTTGGGCGGAACCTTCGTTTCTTTTGTTTTTCAATAGTACTGTGGTATGGAACCGGATTAGTACCTTGCCACGAGTCGAACTGCTGATGACCAGGCCTTCTTTTGGGGGGGCATTGATGCAAGATCTAAGCTGGGATGGGTTCGGAGTTTTCCGATTGGAAGGTTGGGAGGTAAAGAGCTCCATGGCCTTTCTGGTGAGGTGGGTGGTAGTCTGATCAATGGTTGTTGGCTTTCTCCGCTACGAATGCCAGTGAGCAGAACTGCGTCCTGTCTTGTCCAAAATGGCCAGCCAGTTGTGTGTTGCCAGGTCTACAAGAACCGTGCCACCAACTTGAAAGAGCAGCAGCAAAAAGAGCTCTTGGACAAGTGCCCCGTGGTCTGTTTCCAAGCCCTGGGATCGCTTCCTACAATCAGTGAACAGCCCGCCGTTTCAACCGGAGTGCTCCGCTGGACGAAGTGCTCCGGACGAGGTACGGTGGAGAAGAGCACATGGAGGCGCCGCGTGAGCTCATCTTCTCGCAGAACGAGAACTACGTAGAGTGCCCGGGGCGACGTGGAGAGCCCTGTGTTGTGTTTGCCGTGGTTCGCAGTGATCATGATCCTTTTCTCGGCAAGGTGATAAGATAGAACAAATTTGTACTTTTGGACATGCAAGGTCTTTCTTGTTTTTCTGTTGGAATTCCCAACTTGCGAGCTTCAAGAATGGCCTAGACTACTGTCTCCTTCATTTGCTGCCTAGTTGTAGGCATTTATCAAGCGTTCCCAGTTCCCATCGTGGCTTGGTGTCCAAGATGTTGTGCGAGGTATGCCCGAGATGGTCGAGTCTTAAAGGGCTCTGAACGGGCTTTGACCAAGTCCAAGTACGAGGAGGATGTCCTCATAGGTTGCCTGGCTTGAATGTTCAGAGTTTAGTTTGTCAGTTATAACATATATATATATATATACATTGTATATATATATATATGTATATTGTATAATTACATACTCCTTGTTCAATTCTTTTTCAGACAGACACATCACCCAGTTCCCATGGCCGACATGCCAGATCATCGTGAAGATTCTATTATGCCTTCCGCTTGGTCAGTTTGTCTGGACAGGAATGGCTTGGTAACACACTTGGAGCTGATTCTTCTTCCCTGCGCATGCATTTGGAAGCCAAGAAATAGTGTTAATTTGACTCTTGGCAAGTTAATCTTCTGCTTCTTCGAGAACCTTGCTTCTTTGGGCTGCCGGTCATCTGGGCTACTTGAACCCAGCGGCAGAGACAGCAACGACTCACGGCATCAGCAAGGACGCGTCAGTTTTGCTTTGACAACTGTTTGGGCGTTAGAGGGCCCTGCCCCGCCCACTTTCGACGGCAGTTCTGCCTGCACCACTTTCGTTGGGTGCCGGCACCCACGGAAGAAGGGCCATCGCCCACCGGAGAGCTTCTTCGATGAACAGCAAGGCAAATGGGGCGCCCCATGCGCTTGCTCAGAAAGCAACAGTGGCCGCCCTGTGCGAGGCAAACCACCCCGACTGCTCTGGTTGTCAGTCCAGGACTTGCGTGGAACAGCACCCTAAAGAGGGGAGGCCACAAGATTTTGTTGCTGTGGCTGTTACCACACCGGGTGTTGAGGATGTAATGTAAGCTTGCCAGGATATGAACCAACACCACAATGTCAGGATGATGGAAGGACACTGTTTTTTGGCGTTCTGTTTCTTCCAGGTTTCAATTTCCTTCCTGTGACGTTAGCGTTGCTTTCCCTCTACTTCGCACCGAATCTGGTCTTCACGAGGGTTTGGTGCAAGCTTTGGGGCTGCCACTTCGCTGGCCGTACATGTTTTCTTGCTGTGGCGGGCCAAAACTCTGTGGCAGGACTAATCACTGCGAAAAATGACGTAGGGTTCAAACTTGCATTTTGAACCTCCGGTCTTATGGTTTGCTCCAGGACTCCTGGTCCGAGTGTCACCTCTGTTCAAAACTCCTTTCTTGAGCCTGCTGCCTCCGCTCCAAGATTCTGCTTTCTGACCGTGAACAGGCTGGGAATCGGCTTGCTCAGGGATACATACATCACACATGCGGTATTTGTAAAGCCCGGAGGATGTAAATACGCTCCAAAGCTCAGGCAACCACTCCTCCACATGGGGGTCCTGGTTTGATGCCGCCACTGGCAGGCCGGGAGAGGCAAACGAAAAGGCCTTGATCAAACCGAGTATGGATGATCGAGATGAGAAGCTGCATGGTTTCTGTGCTTTAAGTTCCCTCCCAGAGTATTGAAGACTCCAGTTGCGTGCTCAGCAAAGGGAGTCGTTTTTCGGGTGAGTTTCTGCCAGGTGGGGCTTTGCATGTTGTCATCAGTGCATGAAGAACTCCTACTGCGTGCCCATCCAGAAGGCCGAGCTTGAGGCCTTGAGCAGAGTGGAATCGATGACAAGGTCATTGGTGGTGGCCAAGTGACTGTTTCAGTTGGTTTAACTTTGGAATGTTTAGGATTTTGGATCATATTGCTTCTTCTCTTGTTGGCACTGCGCGTGCTGCTTTCTTCGTCTTAGAGATATTGAACTTGAATGAAAACACGCATCTGTGGCAGGCTGGCGCAGAACCGGAAGATGAAGGAGTGCTTCTGATGTTTTCGGTCTTATGTCATCTGCAGGTGTTTCTTAGTCCTCAGTCCAACGGTCCTTGGCACAAACTGTGGATGAGGACCTGGGCCCGAGCCTGCGGAGCCTGCGGAGCCTGCGGAGCCTGCCGCGCTCGGCGACGCCGCGACCTCCGCGGTCCAGCCTGGCGAGGCGGCGTCAGCGCCCAGCAAGCTGAGTGAAATGAGGCGGGTGAAAGGGGGGACATGTTGGGGAACGTTTGGTAGAACAACAAAGCAATCAAGAAATTGATCCTTCGTTGTGAGGGTGGTTGGATACTGTTATATGAACACATGCTATACTCCAGCAGAAATGTGTTTTGAGTTGGAAAGTCAATTTGATGTAGCAGGTGTAGGACGGTCAGTAATTTTGATTTCATAGCCATTACAACATCGGAGTAGCTGTGGAGGGAGGACATTTGTTTGGGCAGACAAGACAAGTGAAGGCGCAGTTCTCGATTCTCGTTGAATCCGTAGTCGCGGTGATAGTCAGGCAAACCCATTCGTGTTCTCGGCAATCACACTGATCTTCTTTGTGCTTGTTCCGAGAACACCCATGCGTCACCCCAAACTCAATCAGGCACCAACTGACCACAGGTTGAAGTCACTCTGAACACCGAAGAGCCACAGTTCTGGCCAAAAAAAGGGCATAGCGCCCATCCACCGAAGGGGCTTTTCTCCGATCGCACCGAAGGACCTCTGCGTTTGGCCATGTCCTCGAGGCTGGTTCGGGTTTGGCAGCCCGCTGCCAGGGGGCGCTAGAATGCAACCAAGGGGAAGGATCGTGATTCGGGTGTGCCCTATTGAACCTATTGCTGGCCACTAGTTTACTGGGAATTCACAGGGGATTGGTACTGAGTGGTGAAGAGCAAATCACTTGAAGTTCCAATGAAGAAGAAGAAGAAGAAGAAGAAGAAGAAGAAGAAACCCTCTGTCCTACCCAACTGCCTGGTCTCTCCAGAACTCTGGGTTTTTCTCGGAGGAGGCGGAAGACCTGGATGAGAAGAAGCTGGCGGATGCAGTGCAGCAAGCCAAAAAGAAGCAGATCCTTGGAGTCTCCAATTTTCTTTTTGCTCCTCCCATGCACCAACACCCGCTCTCAACACGTGGCGGTTTTGCTGATGGGTACTTGGGGGCGCAGTTCAACCTGGAGGTGGACAATGGGTGGCATCCACGGGGGTGTTTTGTGGTTTTCCTTCACTTTAACTTTAATTCACCAGAAGGTACTTGGCTTGCTGGGACATTCTTGGGCAACTTGTGATCCGTTCGCCATTGCCTGGCGGAGGGTTATCAAAAACAGAGAGCTCGGATGAGATCCAGCGTATATATATATATATATATGGGCGTTGACAATAGCAATAGCACTAGCAACTTTAAGTTCAATAGGTCTTGGAACACTCCCCCAGGGGGCCCCATCAGCACCTGCCCATATATATATATATATATGGGATTCCAAGGTGTCAACTTTCGGGTGACCGCAGGTGATTCTTTACAGACATACCTTGAACTCTCCCGTTCTGAGCTGTGGGTTTAGAAGGTTGGTTGGCTAGGGCGCCTTGAACTTCTGACCTTTGGGTGAATTGCTTGATTGATTTGCGGTATTCCACAAGTGTCCACAATGTTTACTTTGTGCACAAGTCCGAACGAAAGCCTCTGTCACAGTCTTCTTGACGGGTTTTGCATTTTTTGATTTGCTTCATCCCAGGAAGCTGGAGCGAAAAGAGGCCTCTGCAGCGAAAAGGGGGGGTTGACAAGTCATTTTGACTGGACATGGCACGGCCTCCAGCGTTTTCCATTTCTGATGAACCCTGGGACTCGCGTCACTTCGTCCGTGCCGAACGAGAGCCCATGACCCCACGGGCCCCAAAGCACACTGCCCGTGGGGCCGCCGATTTGACCATCTCACTCACTTTGTTGGTTCGATCTGATGCACGAGTGTTTGCGGCCGCTCCGAAATGGATTTGATGTCCTTTTCTTGTCCTAGAGGGTTTTGGACAGCTCATACATACGTGAACCGCGGTGCCAGGGCCGCATGACCCTGGACGATGCAGCTTGGCCATTTTGTTTCCGCCATATCATATTAGGCCCAGACCATATTGCCTGCGACCGCTCTTTAGTTTTCGGTTTGAACATAGGATCGACTAGATGAGAAGAAACCACCGGTAGGATACTCCAACGTTCCAGTTCATTTGCCGAGGCAAGTTAAGATTGACTTGGAGCTTCATAATTTGGAATCTGGATTAATTCTTCGGAATCAAAACAAAATTTGATGCATCCAACGTAAGTTTTGATGCTTGCCTTGCTCCTGAGGAACGAAATCGTCCATACAATTCCTTGGCCGGAGAAGCCCTTGCGGGCGAGATCAGCCCCGAGGAATACGAGGTTCGAGCGTGGAGCGAGATGTGGATCCTAGAAGGATGGGCTACGCCTAGATGATGTGTGGGCTTCCAAGTCTTGGATGTTTCTTGTCGCAGACGGGCTGTCTTTAGCAATGCGCAGACTCCGATGCAAAGCGAAACCAGCTTTTTCTTCCGTTGAGTGAATGCAACATTGCCCGACGATTTCCTTGTTGGTTCAACACCGTGCATTCACAGTTAGGTGACCAAGCGATACCAAGGGTATACGCAAGAAAGGAACTGTCCACCCAAAAGCTGATGGGTCGACCCTGATGGTGAAAGCATCTGCGCAGGCCTATCGGCTAACTCGCCAGCGCGCGGATGATCCAATGGCCAAGTTCCTGTGAGTCCCTCTGCGGCGCCGACTCCAATCCGTGGTGAGCAAAGCTCACGAGAGGAAAAGCGGCACTCGAGAGCGTAAGGAGTATGTGGGAAACTTCGGGGTGGAATCAACTCGGAGTTCTCTTTTTGGGGGGTAGGCCGCTAGTGTAGGTGGGTTAGCTAGGGAGTCTGTAGCTAGTAGAAGAGGTATATAGCTGGTCGCTTAAGTGGCTACTATTTAGGACGCAGGATAGCTCACGCTTCTTCAAGGAAGCTCCCCCCGCCGCCGTAAAGGTAAACTTCCTCGAAGAAGTGCTCGCACTGATGATTTGGTTTCTAGATTTTCTAGATTTTTAGGGAAACTGACCACAACATGAAGCTTATATGTATACGCTTATGAAGGGGTTAATCTCATACAGTGAATTCGAGTTGCTGCAGGACTCGATGGTCGTCCTCCTCTTTCTCTTTCCGTCTCGGTGAAGGGTCAAGGGTGGATCATCCCTCGCTTGGTCAGAGTGAATCTGTGCGGCTTTCCAACCGATGACTCCCAAAAAGCTCTTGGGGGTTTAACCCGAGGGTTGATGTTCTTTCTTTTCGCCAATGTCTTGAGCTCACATCCAAAGCACAGGCATACGGCTGACGATTCCAAGAATTCACCATGTATGGAGATGTGGGCCAACTCAGGCCTTTGGCCCAAGTCATCAGCAGGCCATCCGTATAGAAAATGCAAGAGGATGCTGTTGTTGCTGCTCCTCTTTCAGGCCAGACCGAGTGATGGCTGAATGTGAGGCGCTCTCTTGCAAGTTTGGATCAATTTGCTTTGATTTAGTCATCAGGTTCACCTTCCTTACAGCCGAAACCTTCACCAGCCTCCGACCTCACAGGCACTCACCACACCTATTTCGCCAGGCTGTGGCGGCTTTCCATGACCACTCCGAGGTCAGCCCGAAGCAGACGCTGGTCGTCAACCATGCCGGCCAGCTGCTGCCGCAGGCCACGGCGATGCCTCGGCCTCCCGCCTCGGCGATGCCGGCGGGGCACGAAGCGCTCGGCCGCCTCGTGCGGCCGAAGGATGCGCTGAGCGAGGAGAGCGAGCGATCCCAGTTGAGGAGAGGGGCCAAATGAGGGAAGAAAGGCACCCTGGAGTCTCAAGAAGAATGTGCTGTTTGGAAAACAGGAGCTTGGCATCTGGAAGAGATGTTGTGGGAGTTTGTGGGTTTGAGGTTCAAGAATCCGCGGATCTCAGCGGTGGAATCAGCTTTGCCTCGCGACCCGCGCCGGTGAATCGCGCGCCAGGAGGCTGTCGTTCATGGCTTTGGGCGGTGCCATGCTGCTGGGCTACTTGGGCTTTGTGGCCAAGTCCAACGATTCGACCAAGTCCGAGGATCAAAGCCTCCTCTCCGCCTGGCCAGAGGCGCCTGCGGCAAAGCAGAGCGGCGAAGCGACCGAGCGCGTGATTGATTGCTTCACCAGCTGCATTCATGCTTTTATTGGTCAGAACTCGATACGGTTCCAGCCAGCATGTAAACCTGTTTTAAGATGTTTTGCGTACAACTAACAATTTTTCTTGGGGGTGCCTCAGTTGCTGCTCCTTTTAGACGTTCTTTGTCCACAGACGATGTGCCCCGATGTCAGGCCGTTCCCTGGATGTTGCTCTCCATGACCTTGTCGATCTTCAACAAGTGGATCTTCCTCCCAGCTGGTGGGAACTTCCCTTTTCCAATGACGGTCTCCTGTAGCCACATGCTTTCGACCAGCATGGTCCTGCATCTTCTTCGCCTCTGGAAGCCTCAACTCTTTCCTGGGCTTCGTGGCCTGAACTGGAGAGCAGCCCTTCCAGTGGTGCTACTGGTAGGACCGCATGTCGAGCGACTCTAAGAATCTGACTACTGTGACTTTCCGCTGATGGTCATGTTCTTCCTACCACTTTGTTAGCTAGGGTGTTTCAAGCTTGTGGGACACCCCACCTACCCCGAGCCCTTCCACCACAAGCAGACGTGCCACTGGGAGGAAGTCTGTTGGCAATCTCAGTGGTTCTGTCCAACTCTGCTGCTGTGCTGCTCTCGGTGGCCTTCGTGAACATGCTGAAAGGCTTAAGGGTTTCCGACACATGGGCAGTGGGAGACGGGATGGGTGGGCGGATGCAATGGATGCCGAGGAAGAGTTACGGTTGCGGAACTGGCCAAACGAGAGATGTTTAAGCTGATTCCTCACAGCTAAATGAGATTCCCTGCGCCCAATTGTTTTTCCTTGATCATCCATGGCTGGAGCTTTAGACAGGCACGTCCAGCCATGGATGTTACTTCTGATCTAAGATGAAGGGACCAGGACCGGACCAAGCAGCGTGTCCTTCCAGGTGGAAATCCCGTGGTGGCGCTTTTGCTGGGCTTGACCTTGGGGACCTCCAGCTGCAACTGGCGGATGCTCTGCCCCGTGCTGGTGATCATGTTTGGAGCGGCTTGGACGGGTGAATGGTGGGGGACCGGACTGGACCAACGGTGGCCTCCCAACTAGTGGATTTGGGCCGGAACTATGGACCAGCAGCAGGGCTTCCCGGGGTTTGCACAGACTCCAAGGCCTCTAAGGCAGCAAGTTGGTCGGCTTCACTTGAATGTTTCGGTGGTGTCAAGACGTGCTACGACCTGAGGCAGTTGCCACAGTCCGTGGTGAGCTGTCTTTGAGCTACCTGGGCTTGGCGCTTTTGGTGACTGCCATTGTCGTGGAGCAGCTCCTTCCACTGCAATCGAAAGTGCCGACATGGGGGGCCACCAGAACACTGGCCTTAAACTTTCCAATCGATTTCCGCTTGGAATTCGCTGTTTTCTTTCTGTTTGCACTCTTTCGTGCACTTGATGTGCCCCACCAGTCCCGTCAGCACTTGTCTCATGCTCTTTGACCAGGTTCCGCCTGGTTCTCTTCAAGTCGATGATGTCAGAGAGTGGGCTCTCCTTGGATCCACTCTCTGTGGGGTGCTCAGGGCATGAACAATGTGCTCGCAACGTCCAGAATTTCCCGAACAGCATCAACAAATGTGCTGCGCATATATTACGCAGTGTAGACGGTATGCAGAGCCCACAAAACAGATTTCTACGGCGCTTAAGCACAATTCGGTGGATCTGATACAAGTCCCTTGAAAGTCTTGAGAGAGGTGGAATTCTTCATTCAAAAACCCCTTGAAAGCTGTTAGGTTGAGGCCATCCTTGTGAGGTTGGAGGCCATTGCCGTTAGGTTGGAGGCCATCGCTGTTAGGTTGGAGGCCATCGCTGTTAGGTTGGAGGCCATCGCTGTGAGGTTGG